AATATTTATAAACTTACAAGTGTAATTTCCCTCATACGTTAGCCTGCTTACTATTTGATGTTGAATTACAGTGGTTTAAATGGGCATTTGAACATTTGAGCACATACCTATTTTTATAACATTTGAGTGCTCCTTAAAATACAGAACATCTAATTTTAATTTAAATACACCAATAGTTACTGAAAGAGTATTAACTATGGAAATGTGTGGGTGTATTTATCAAATTGGTCTCAAAAAAGAGAGTATAGTATTATTTTCCAACCTGTAATGTCAAGTACAACTTAACAGTAGTCTGGCAGTAAGTTACTGTTGCATGAATGAACTTTATATTTGTATTTGTTAGGATTTGCTATCGTTATTGATTACACCATACTTCCTTTTCTAAAATCTTCCTTCCAGCTCTTCCCCTCTTTATAATAGGGGTTTTCTTGAAGAATGTAGAGTAAGATTATAAAGTCAAGGAAGAAGAAAATATGTCTATTAGTACTATATGATCATCTTTCTCATTGGGGCTGTGGCGGTATAAGCAGCAAATGACACTACACTGCTCTTCCCCTTCTGAGTTCAGAACACAGGAGCGAGACAAGTGGCCATCGACATTCTAGGTTTATCACCAAGTCATGATAACTAATGGGAGGATGGGGCTTAGATGTGCAGCCACGGGGGGTTCTGAATACTTCATCCCAGATCAGACACTCCCCACACAGTTGTAAGCAGAGGGGACAGATGCTTGACACATGTCTTAGGAGCAGGCTGCTTACTGCAGAGATGACAGCAGACCTGAATTCATGTCACTGAGGGCAGACACATCTTTGCAAAGAAGAGAGGCAGCGCTCAAGCAAGCACACTCCATGTGCTTTGGGCAAGCTCACCCATTAGGTGAATCTTCCCTCCTCTCAAGGGGAAGGTCGAGACAGTGCAAGTCCTCACTTGGAAACTTAAGGCCTGGGAAATGAAGGTTCTCCTATCACTTTCTGCCTGGATTTAAATTATAGTTGAAATGAAGCCCGTGTCTCTGTCCTGTACTAACTAATGATGAAAATTAGACAGAAGCACTCCAGATGACAAAGAGAATTCTGCTTTGTGTTTTCCATGTTGCTAGAAATAACCCACGACATGGATAACTCATTTGTTGATTGATTTTGGTAAACCAAGTTTTATTTGGTGAAATGAATCATCCTTTTAAGGAAGAATTTTATTTTAGCTTGCTTGGCTCAATGAAAGATTTTCTCCTTAAAGTTACCTGTTCTGCGGTTTAAAAAATTGGTTCTGGGTTATTGACTGCTAGTAACTGAAGATATGATATCAGTTGCTGTTCCTTACAGATAAAAGTGGAGCTGTTTGGCTAAAGGAGGGCTGGGGGCTCTGAAGCCGTGACTTCCTTATCCCTTAGGGACATCGTTTGAAAAGCTTCCAGTTATGAGAGAATGCTTCTAATTAGCTAAAATTCACTGGCACATTGTTCTCCTGTGTAAAATGTCCTCCACTTCTTATATTTAAAAGAGGAAAAGTATAAATGAAGCTTCAGATATGCTGCCTTTATTAATATTAGACTTCAAGCTGCTTCCACCATCTAAAACATAATCTCCATCTGCAAATAGAAAGGAAAAGCATTTTTATTAAAATGCTTTATTTTATGTATTTTATTCCATAAGGAGCTGGTATAGCTTTTGATTTAGTGTTATGCATAAAATGGAGTTTAGCAGGTTATGAAGATTTTCTATTTCCTCTGGCAGTGTTCAGTTTCTCCTAAGCTACTGCTCTACACTCTTCAAAAGCCATTGATGGCACCCTCTTCTAACTGAATAGGACAATAATCACTGTCACTAAGACTTTTTTTCCCTCCTTTTTCCATCCATTATCTGCAGTCATTCAACTGAGGACAATTGTGAATTTCTACTAAAGGAAATATGAGGCAAATGTATGATTTATGGGAAAGTAAGAATGAAATGAAGGGGACTTTTAAAACATCATTTAATATGTGCCAGTTTTCACTTGTCAATACTGACAAAACCATGCCAGCCTCCTGCCAGCCAGAACAAAACTGGAGCCATCAACACTCCAGACCCTTTTCCTCAGCTTTTGGGCACCTCTCCCAGGACAGCTCCCTCCTTGTGTTCTGGGTCTGTCCCTTTTCCCTCTGAGCTTTAATGTCTGTCCTGGTGTCTCTTTCCCCAAGACAGCTACTGTCAGCTGTCATATATGTGGTGGAACATTCGAGGGGCAGTGAAAGGCTGGAAGACGATTGGTGCAGGGGGAGGCCACTCCACGGTTGGAATAGAGGCACCAGCTTCTACCATGTGCTCTTTCAGAGTTAGGAGAAGAAATGACTTGTACTTAAAATTTGTGATACAAAAAAGTATTCTCTATGTAGACAATTAAGATTTCTTCAGTACAAAAGTAAGCAACCTGTCAAGAACAGTATTTCATATTTAAGTACAATTTATGTATTATGAAAGTACTTGTGATTGGGGTATAAAGAAGTAATAAAATATGTTACCCATGGGAATTAAATATTTAGGAGAAGTGCTTTTTGGGGAAAAGATAATAGCAGTACATCAGCATTTTCTTAATTCAAGTCAGGTTACAATGGAAACTTACATAGTGTTTATTAGTGGTAATATAAAATTATTTCTTTATTATTATTTCTTTATTTTTCACCTAATCTACTGTTGAGTTACTGCTTTTACAAGACCTGGGTAGTAGTGCTATAGAAACATTACTTATTTTATAAGGCTGGCCTATAATGTTACTATCACAAATGGTAAGTAAGAAATGGTATGGAAAATAGTCTCTCAAAATATCAGAAAACCTGTTAGTCAAAAATTTGTAAAGGGATTGGATATTATATTATCACCAAAAAGTATTTATTAGGGTTAGTTTACTGTTTTAGGTCCTGTTCTGGGCATTGTGGGGGAGAATATCTTTTATACAAAAAATTTAAATAAGAACCCTTTAGATGGGGACCCTTGCAATACAGTTTGAAATATTTCCACACATTTCTTAATTAAGTGGATAACTAGAACTATAATTAGATGCTTCAAAAAAGTGCTACTAATTTTTGAAAAGAAATCAAAGTTACAATTAAAGAGCTATATTTTGTTTTCCCTGTGTCTATTCCTAGAACATCATGAACCACAGAAACTAAGTTTGAAAACTGACTCTAACCTGTAGTTATTCTTTCTTGTTGTGATAATGTTCTGAAATCTTTGTGTCCATATAAATAAGGGAATGCAAGTCATAATACAGATAGCATAATAGATATTTTATTTATTTATTTATTTTCAGCATATTGTGGGGGTACAAATGTTAAGGTTACGTATATTGCCCTTCCTCCCCTCCCCCCTCTAGTCAGAGCTGCAAGCGTGTCCATCCCTCAGTTGGTGCACATCGCACTCATTATGTATGTATATACCCATCCCCTCCCCCCCACCTGCCCGACACCCGATAAATGTTATTCCTATATGTCCACTTAGGTGTTGATCAGTGAAACCAATTTGCTGGTGAATACATGTGGTGCTTATTTTTCCATTTTGGGGCTACTTCACTTAGTAGAATGGGTTCCAGCTCTATCCAGGAAAACACAAGAGGTGCTATATCACCATTGTTTCTTATAGCTAAAGAGTACTCTATGGCATACATATACATTTTATTAATCCACTCATGTATTCATGAGAACTTGGGTGGTTTCCACATCTTTGCAATTGTGAATTGTGCTGCTATAAACATTTGAATGCAGATGTCTTTTTTATAGAATGTCTTTTGTTCTTTTAGATAGATGCCCAGTAATGGAATTGCTGGATCAAATGGTAGATCTACTTATACCTCTTTAAGGTATTTCCATATTGCTTTCCACAGAGGTTGCACTAGTTTGCAGTCCCACCAGCAGTGTATGAGTGTTCCTATCTCTCCACATCCATGCCAACATTTATTGTTTTGGGATTTTTTGATAAAGGCCATTCTCACTGGAGATAAGTGATATCTCATTGTGGTTTTGATTTGCATTTCTTTGGCGATTAGAGATGTTGAGCATTTTTTATGTTTGCCCACTCTTTGCCCACTTTTTGATAGGATTGTTTGACTTTTTTCAGACAGCATTTTTCCTGGCTCTATTCAAAGTGACTTACATTCTCTGAGGTTTTGCAATCATTTATGAGGTCTTGATGATGACTTAGTAGGCCCTAAAAGTTTGGTTATGATTAGTGGTATATGGGAATTTGAAATGATGGAATTGCTATCTTAATCCCTTAAAATTCTGTTTACAGACATTTGATGGAGAAGAGTAAGTTGCCATTTAAATGCATTCTTCTAGTAATATAAATGCTGGTGAAAATGCATGGGTATATAAGTTGAAGAAACTAGCTAAATACTAAGTTGATAGATACGTCTGTTTAATTTTTTAACAAGTTTTTACACCATTTCAGTTATTTTTCTTACAGAAATGGTTTGTAAATTCTAAAATAGTGAACATAAAGTATGTTTCCTTACTAAACTAGTTCTATATTCTATGACACTGAATTGTTTGTTTTCTTCTATATAGGTCTACTCAATTTTCTCCTTAAAAACACAATTGATTTTTAGTTTCTTAGAAGCTAGAGGTAAGAGTAGAACACTAGTTTGAAAAATAATGGAGTTTATATGGCTTCAACTAAATTAAATTGATTTAGTTTCCAATCAAATTGTTTGCAATAAGTAGTACAGTATGACATAAAAATCTAAACTCTTTTAGGAAAGTCCAAGTTTTATGGCTTTCTGATATCCTATGCAAGAGTTAATTTAAATAAAAACATTTTGGTTCATTTAATTTAACTGATGTTAGGCATCATATTGTTATTATGTGTGGTTAAAGTGATACATATTTTGCTATAATTTTAAGTTAACAGCATTAAAAAGCAATAATGTATTCATACTGTTAATAAAAAAGACAAAAAGACTTTTCAGCATAAAAAGTGTTATTAAGAGAAACTACAATAATACAGGAATATTTTCTTATCCACCAAATGAAAAATCCAAATATAAATAAAAATTTATCCTATTCAAAGGCTCAGTGGGATCTGACAGAGGCATCAGTGAAAATGTCATAAAGAATACACGTGAACATTAGATGAGATATACACAAGTAGCTTCATTTCAGCATAATCGAGAAAGAGATTTTCCAGTACAACCAATTTGGCAACATTTCTCAAATAGTGACATAGAGGAATCTCTCTTTTTTCGGGAATGAGTATCCAAGGCTAAGTATTTTAATTCTGAAGGACTATCATCATCTGCTTCACTTTCTCTATTATGAATAATTTTCTTAAATTCATCAAAACCAATATTTGAATCCTTTAATGTAGGTAGATATTGTTGTAGCTCTGGTAATGATGGCTGCCTCTCAGAAGGTGTTGCCTTCAGCTCCTGTGGCAAATTAGCAATGAATTCTGACATCATATTTACAGTTCCTGCATCATCGTGGATGAAGAATGGCACGATTTCTGTTAGGTTAAAGAAAAAAAAAAGGTATGAGGGAAACATTCATGTCAAGGAGCATTCAAAAAAACTATAAATGTTTGCAGAGGCAAAAAGGAAAGCATTTTCCCAATATAATTAAACACCAAAACAAAACCAGCAAGTATCTTAATATCTAAACAACTTAGCTTACTTACAGTTGGACAAGTTAAGGTACTGCAATATTATGAAGGTTATGCTTTACTCCATTAGCCCCTCATCATCTCTCTTCTTGATCCCCTTATTGTTTTTATCCTAGTCCTTTTGACTCTCCCCGACATTAATTAATCTCTCGTCTTTCTAAAGTCATGTTGGTCACTGAAACACTCGGTTTGACCACAGATGAATTTTTCTTACCTGACAAATTTTCTTCCATTGCTAAGCAACTTATAAGTTATGATAGCAACCCCCGAAAATGACATTAATTATTTTAAGCTATCAAATTTTTCATAGTGGCAGGTTACTGCTTCAGGATAAAGTTAAAAAAGCAGAATTTCCAATAGCCCTGATCTAATCAGCAGGAAGTACAGGCCTCTGACATCCTTCAAACATCTATTTAAAAAGTTCTCTTCCCTGGAGTATTTACCTCAAAACAATATACCTTTATTAAAGACAGAAATGGCTAAAAGAACACCAACAAAACATCACTAACTTTAAGAAGAGATTAGTATGTGCCATGATGTGTATGTATTGACTAATGTACTCTGTATATCGTTTGTTCCGATGCTGTGGATCACACACTATGCAAGATCTGTGTGTCCCCCAGGAAGAGAACCTGTTCTTACACACAGCAAGCAAGGCTGGTCAAATGTGAAGGTTAGAACTTGGGCTGGGAACCTGCTGGAGCCAGCTGATGTTTTCCTTCTTTACACTCATTCAGTTCAGTTGAACATTCATTAACTGTTTCCATGTTTCTGGCATGGCCACTCAGGAGTTATAAATAAAAACAAAACAAGTTTTCTGCTCTCAAAAAACTTTCAGTCACACAAACTCTCTCCTAACCTTAACTATCCCATTTATACAACTTGAGCATTTTAGCACACACAAAGAAGTTAGAAACATTGATGAATTTTAAATTATAGCGTAAAGCTGGATCAGTCCTTGATACTCTTCTTCGTGGGTAGCAAAACTGTTCTTCAGCTTATTAATAAGGCATTACTCTTGAAATAATGGAAGGAAAGAGGCCAAGAGATATAAATCTAAGTGTGGATGCCTGGTTAACCACCGATACCTACTGATGAGAGAAAATCATGGAGTTCAGTTTCACCCAGGCAGAGGTGGTCCTGGGGCTAATCCACTTCCTGAGAGTTCTGTAGTAAGAGTCTCAGTTGTTCTCTTTTTAGCCAACAACAAATATCAACAGTTGGAGTTACACAGAGGTAAAAAGAAAAACTAATACTGCACCATTTTGTCTTTCCTCCCATTGTTCCCCCTCCATTGAGTTCTAAACTGGCAATGACAGATGAGAATTTATATCATTTTTAGGTATGTCAGCAGTTTCGGCATTTTCCTTGGCTAAGACATCCTATGTTTAACTCAACATCCACATAAAAACCTCTCCTTGCTCTAACTTAAACTTTCTTTGGTTGGGGCCTTACTGAATGCTGGGAAAAGCTGATGGTAATTTTCTATACACTAAAAGCCAATTAGTGAATTAGCCAAAACAGTTATAGTTTGTATTAAGTTTATCTGTAGGCTGTGCATTTTGGAGTCTTTTTATTAAAATTAATTTTTTCAAACTTGTTTTGAAATATTTCATGATTCATAACACTTTTAGCTTATGGAGCCTAGGCTCAAGAAAATATTCTAATCTATCTGAATTCATACAAATAACCCTTAATCACTGTATTTTGGACTGAAATTTCACTAACCTAGGCTTCTTCTAGTTAAAAGTATATTTTTAAAAGGGATGCAGTGAGTGTTATTTGGACATACATTGTGAAGTAAAATGTTGCAAATAGCAACTACCTAAGAGTAAGGGTCTAAAAATTCATGCAAATCACAAAATACTAGCATGTATTGCCAAAATGTTTCCTACCTAGTAATGTGAACATTTCCCTTAATCCCCACCTGCAGGCAATATTAGGTCATTAGGTGACTTCTGGTTAAATTATGAACTGTAATGTATGTAGCAGTAAGAAATTTTTTTTCCAAATACTTTAAAAGTATTAGAGTCTCCTCTAAGGAAATAGAAATTTGGCCCAATATCTCTATAAGAATGTTTTCAGCAAACTATTTTCAGGAACAATTTAGAAATAATCAAAATGTTCAGCAAAGAATGTTTAAATATATATGCTAGATTTATGACATCAAATATGATACAGAAATTTTAAATTATGTTTCTGAAGAATAAGAATGTGAGAAACTGCTCACAGTATAATGTTGAGTGAAAATGCAGTAGGTATACATATACTTCTTCCAACAGCATTTCTTCCCAGAAACTTGTCATTTTCTCATTAGATTCACATTTTTTCAAAATCTTTAATATCTTATGAGTGCTTTTCATTTTTCTCTCTGTATTAATCAAAATTTTTTTCTTTAGTATGAGTATTAGTACCTACATATTCAGAAAAGGAGAAATAAAAAGCAAATATAATGCAATATGGTCTTTAGTTTGAATCAGTAAACTCCTAGTCTCTGTGGTACTGAGTCTGACACAAAATAATATAAAAACACATTAGTCTGACACAAAAATAATATAAAAACTGGCATTAAAGTTATCTCTAACAATGTAGAAAAGTAAAGCAAATCACATGACAATCATAATTTAAATCTCATGAAAGAGAAGTAAATGTATTTAGTGTGCACACTGATTTTATACAAGAGTCATTTATATATAACATATGTATATATGCTATACAATTGAGTTGTCGTTTATCATAAATTGCGTATGTGATATGAAATATAAAACACTTAATTGTTAATAATTGAGCTTGCCTTCTGTGAATTTAATATGGCCCATTACACATCAGAGCAGTCTATAACTCTGTAAGTGCCCACTGCTACTTTAACCTAGCTTCCAATTTATCTTTCCAAAAATATATTTTGTAAAGTATTCCAGATTTGAGCTGTGTAATCAATTCTGAGATCTCCCTTTTAAAGCAAATCCACTGCAGCTTCCAAATGCTTGAAAGCCTCAATAGGGTCTTCAGCTATGAGGGTCAGAAGGGCGATCCTTCCTTGTCTGTGGTTCCCTTCAGTTTCTCTTAACGGCGATCAGCCTTTTCTTTCTCTTCCACCCCCTCTCTTACAAACGAACTTCAAGATCCGGCTCCAAGAGATGGGAGGCTAGACTCTCCCCCTTGGAGCAGTGGTTTTTTGTTTGTTTGTTTGTTTCTTAATACGTTTCCGATGGCATAGGCCACAGACAAAGGAGGAGAGTCATAAAATCTAAAGCCCTTCCTGTCTCCCATTCCAGGACCCCGACAGAGGTCTCTGAGGCCCTCCCCTCTCCTCCCAATTCGAGCCGCAGGGTCCAGTCACCGGTCGCCGGATGTCCGTCCCGCCCCGTTTTCCCGCCGCGCCCAGGAGAGCGCCGCCTCCTGAGGGACTCCCGGCAGCGCCTCCTTCTCTGGGGCTTCCCCCTCCTCCCTTTCCTGTCGCCCCGGCTGCCAGGTAGCCACGGCACCAGGTCCTCTAGGTGAGGCTGTTTGCTACTCTCGCAGTTTCCTCTCCCTGTGTTGAGATTCCTGTGAGACCCTTTCAATCAAAGCACGTTACACAGGAAGGGCCCAAACTTCAAGTGCCAGGCACCGCGGAGAAGGGCTGAGCACGGGCAGCCAATGAGATCTCGAGCCGGGCTGGGGCCGCTCCAATTGGTCGGGAGTCCGAGGGCAACCAATGGGGAGCGTGGAAAGGCTAGGGGGCGGGTGTGGCGGGAGCTCTCACCTGCCTTTGATGCAGATCCCGGGGGAGGCTCTTTCTGGCTCAGAGCCATTCTTCTGGAGAGGCTCATGCCGCAAACGGCTATCAGGCGGCGGACTAATTCGCGGCCGCATGATTTAATATTTGGGTCCATCCGCTCGGTCCGGTTTGCCCTGGAAAGTTGGCTGAGTAACAGCCAGACTCCTAGCAGGTGGAACAAGAACAGGCGAGGCATCCTGGACTTAGTCTCTCCAGCTGTGGGCCTTTCAGACTTGCTCTAGGGACTGAGCTGTTGCCTACTGACCTGTGCCTGTGTACCTATCCCGGGCTTTAGGCTGCTTTCCCTACCTGTCTCAACCAGGCTTTTATATCCCTTGAGCTATCACTCAGCTCTTAAGTGGGTGATCCCAGCTCCACCCCTTTCCCACCCGCCTCCACAGAATTTTCTCCCTGGGCCCTTGTTCTTCACCTTTTCTCCATTTGTCCATCCTTCTGTCCTTGGCCCCTTTACAGTTATGTGTCTCTTTTCTTACCCTCAAACCATTTTGTATACTTACATAAAGGTATTTACATATATGAAGGCTTCTCTTTTTTACACAGCAAGCCATGGCCATTACATTAAATGGCATAAACAAAAACAAAGTTGATATCACCCATTTTCTTACAATCCCGTTTGCCAGTGTGAACATTTGCTGCATAGCCTTCTAACCTAAATAAAATTAAGTTAGATTAATTTGTATAGTGTCTAGTATATCAAGCCATAAAAATATAATGGATGAAGGAACAAATTGTTGGTGAGAGAAAACTGATGACTTTTAATCTGAATCCTGCTATAAACATAGAAATTCCCAGTAACATCACTTTAAGCCTGTACAATAATGTCTTAAATGTACAACACACTTTCTCCATTAAACTTTTCTTCCACTTCTCTGGGAGATGGTTTGATTGTAACCAGTTATCTGAATGTTTTAACTCAAAATTATACTCTATATTTCTAGCAAGTGAAGAAAACACACACACAAAGAAAAAAGCAAAAAAGAATAGAGAAAAAAACAGTTGAATCCCACAATCCCAGAAAGAATATTTTGTACCATGTTACAAAAATTATATAAATATACACTTTTTACTGTGTTCTATGATTGCTGTATTTGGTAGGAGGTGATATTCAACATCTTTTCATTTAACTTTAAAAAAATCCAACTTCTAAATGTACAGTAAACTTTTAGGTACAAATAGGTTTATTTTTCAATAATTTGTTTGCTTTTGTTCATTGTCTACTCAGATTAGTTCAGCTCAACCAGGTAAACTGGAGACATACAGAAAGTTAGGGTAGCTTTGAAGTAAAGTAATAACTCAACAATCTCTTAGTTATAGATAATAGCTATGGAATAAAATAATTCTAGTTTCTAGATCCCTGCTAATTTCAATAGGGTCCACCTCAGTACAGGTCAAATGCTAAGCATTGTGTAATTTTTCAAAAAGATCCTAACTAAAGCTATGAGATCAGAGGCAGCATTATTAAGTGGATTTTCATTAAGATATGAAGCTTGGGAGAGGCTTCTCAAAACTGAGGTTTGAAGGTACTTTTGTGGGTTGACAGTCCTTGCAAAAATAACCCATGCTCAAGGCTACCCTGCAATGTAGTTGCTCTATTAAAATTATAAATTTCCAGAGACATTTTAAATTTTTATTTTGCCTAGGTGACTTTATGGAGTCCTCACATCTATGTAGTGAAGTGGCCACTTTCCCATTTTACAGAGAGAAGAAACAAATTGAGAGTGGTCATGTGTATTTCCAGCGCAATATGGCCAGCACATGAGCCAGATGTGGGCTTACCCTACTGCTAAGAGTCACAAGCAAATGCAGAATTCACACCCTTTACAGGCACGACTAAAAGGCATTTCATGTCCTTAAAAAAAAGAAAGAAACCATTTTAAAGAGAAAAAATAAGTGTGTCCATGCATATAGCTGACAAGTACTAGAGGCGGGATTCCACCCAATGTCTACTGGATTCCAAAGCCCCCTTTCTTTGGTTCCACTGTATCCCATGTATCCATTCTCAGTTGGAGTTAATCTTAATGGTGAAGGTTAATAAGTAGAGATTACTATCTTTGAAATAGTCATTGCAGGTACAAGAGCAGCAACTCTTGAGGATGTAAGTGCTGGACATGATTTCCCCGTGCCTCTTACAGGTAGCAGTGTCCATGTGACACAGTTTTGGCCAATACAACCTAAAAGCACAAGTGTAGAGGTTTCTGGCAAAGCTTTTGCTTTTCTGGTTCAAGCTTTAAGCTTTCTTGTTTCTCCTTCCTTTCTTGCCTGAACAAACTCTGAGAATGGGAGGTGTGGCAGCCATCTTTGGACCATGAGGTGTGGAGCATAAAGAGAAAGGCCTATGTGTGGGCACAGCTGCCTGGCAGAGCAGCCTGCTGGCATCATTCAGAGGCTAAACAGGGTTGAATGGCTATTCCCTAGGCTCTTATGAGTTACTGTTTATAAGGGTTTTCTGTTGTTTATGGAGGACACAATCCTGAGATGTGTGTGTGTGGTGTGTGTGTATATATAGATATATGTATTTCTCTCTTTCTCTCTCCATATATACATATATACATACATATACATATATACATATGTATGTATACACATACATATATGTATACATATATACATATATGTATATATATGCAGAGTACATTTTTTATTTGAGAAATAAATTAAACTTACAATGATTTATTTCTTATGAGAGCTTTAGGTATACTTTAGTAACACTAGACTTAGATGTTCTGAAGACTGAAGAAATTATTTAAGTGTTTATACTAGATGGTTTACCACAGAAAATCTTTGTGCCACTGAAAAACCAGTTATATAATAAGAAGTTGGAACCAGAAGCCCTGCCTTCAAGGATTTTGTGCAGGAGAGGATGAGGGATATGGGCCAAGGCAGGTCTGGAGAGCTGCTTTCTGTGTTTGGTGGTGCCTTCTTGTCCTGTCCGAGTTATAAGTTTCCTGAGAATTACCCTCATTCTGCTGGTTGGAACCTCCATGTCATACAGTAGCCTTCCTGGCTTTGTCCCAGATGGCAGATGGCCTCTGAGGTTGTGCAGCCCTTTATTGAATACCGTTGCTCATGGCCTTCTACCTACACCACCTTCCAGCCTCCACTGCGCCCAGAAGGGGTTGCCTAGCCATTCTACGAGAAACTTGCTTTTCTAAAGATATGAAACTCTGCTTCTTTATGTTTCAACACTCATCTCTTTCTCTAGCTTTATATTTTCTACCAAATTCTCATTGTTTTCTCTCATCTGTCAACAACAGGTGATCCTTACCTGATCCCAATGACAATCAGTGCCGTGTTGGATCTCTTTTTGTGCTTATATTTTCCATTATTTCACTGGAATTTGGGGAAGCAGGAGAGGTAAACACTTGTATTTTTTTCAAGCATCCTGAGTCAGAAATCAGTGCTGAGTCTCTATCTGATAGGTCCCTTTGGAACCAATCCAGGTTCTTGTGTTTTCCCCTTCAGATTATTGTGCTGTTTTATCCAGAAAAATCAAACAAAAAACAAAGGGAAATTGTGATCTTCAAAAAGTCTGCTTGTCAGCAAACCATTGGAAATCTCTTGGTTAAGAGATAAGGAAAGATAAATAACCTCATTGGTTTTTTTTTTCTCACTTTCTAATTCTACTCAAATAATAGGATATGTGCTGAGGAAAAGTTCAGAAAGAATCACCTCCAGCCAAACCCAGTAACCCCAGTAATCCTCCTACGAAGAAATACGATGTCACTGTTTGCCTTTCTTGTGGTTTGTGGCTTTACCGTTGTGCTGGGCATTGGCTCTCATGTGTGACCCCCAGTTTCTGACTACACAATCCAGCTATTTCCACAACCGCACTTGGAATACCACGAGGCCCCTGTGTGGTCACTGAGCCTGGCTCCCACATCTAAATTTAGGTTTAAATTGATGTCAAGGAATCAAGTGATCACACACAAATTACTTCAATCTTAGAATAATGGAACATGTGAAATATTAGTACAAAGATGTTCAGTCATGAACAGAGTTCCCAAACAATCATATTTTATATCCTCCTACTTGACTTTCAACATGTACCTTTTATTTTGTAAAGACAATGAGTGTTGAGTGCTTACTATCTGCCAAATGATTTGTATGTATTGTCTCATTATCATCCCTCTCAGCATTTCTCTGAGCTAAGTGCTATTCATATCACCAAGCTAACCACATGTGTGGTGATGGAGGAACACAAATGTCGGTTACATGTTCAGGGTTGGTAAGTGGTGAACTGAGGGTTCAATCCAAGTCTGCCTGTGTGCAGAGCTCAGGCTCTGAACACTTGTACATCGACCACAGTTTCTTGAGAAATTTTACAAACATCATTTCATTTTGCCCAGACAGCTATCGTGTAAGACAGGTGTTTATCCCATTGTACAGGTAAGGTTCTGAGTTGACTTGCCAGAGATCATGCAGGGTCTGTAGGGGGAGCAAAGACTTCAGCCATCAAGTTCAGCCCTTTTTCTACCACACTGAAGTTTTGACTCCCTTAGTGCCTACTAAAAGCCAACGCTAAGCAATAACACATTGATTTGATTTTTTACATTAGCTGTAGTTTGGGTTTTTTAAAATAGATTTTATTTTTTAGAGTAGTTTAGGTTCACAACAAAATTGAGCAAAAGATACAGGGATTTCCTATTACCTCCTGCCCTCAAAGATGCATAACCTCCTTCATCATCAACATTTCCCAGCGTAGTGAACCCTTCGTTGAAATCAATAAACAGACATTGCCACATCTGTATCCCCAGAGGTCAAGGTTTACATTAGGGTTCACTCTTGTTGGTGCATATTTTATGGGTTTGGACAAGTGTATAATGACA